CCCACCCTCACACACACACACACACACACACACACACACATTTTCCATCCCCTCACTAGTACCGATGCAATCCCGTCCAACCTCAACGCGTGACCGCTTCTGTCCGCCAGTGTTATCCACGTGTTATTCCAAGCTTCACCGTTATACATATATGTATCCTATAGATTTTGTGCAAGTTTTGTCATTCATGTGACAACGGGTACACGCTATAAACGCTCCCATTCGGCAAAGATATCACATTGGAAATAAATAACATTGAGCATTTTTTTCTTACCGTACATCTAGTTTGTTTATCTGTATTATCTTTGACCGAAATGATTGAAAGTTCAATGCGCAGACAACATTTCTATCTTGTGCAACATTTTCCTCGATGCTGCGAAAAATATAAACGTTGAAAAACTATTGCACTCACCTGCTGGCCATTAACGAACCATCTGAGTTTTGCGGCAGGATGGGACTTGCCGCTGGTGCAATTCAGCGCAAGCACGTCTCCGCTGGCGTATACCTTTTCCTCTCCGGTTATCGTTGGCCTTTCTTGAGGTAGTGCTGCGAAACAATTTGAGAAAATTGTTAGATGTACCCGTGGTACGTGTGCGTTAATTATACGACATGACGCCGTTCATTTTAGCTCGTCTTAAAGCTACTGTTATTTTATTTCTAAGACAGAAAAGAAGTATATATTTTATATTGTATAATCTGATTGTAAATATAGTATTATATACAAGATGTCCCGCAATTACTGCATTTTCTCTTAAGAATGTATTCTTGAGAGAATTTCGAGACGAAAATCCTAATACAAAAATGTCGAGGCTATAATATTTTTAGAATTATAATTAGTTAAAGATAAGTTTGTAATTAAAAAACTATCATAGCCTTGATATTTTCGACTTTGGTCTTAGAATGTTCAAAAGAATCTAGAAATAATAATAGAGGCTATAAAAATAAAATGGTTTTTTTTATTTATACATATAGCATTTAAAGTTAGCTTATAACTAAAAAGTTATTGTAATCTCGACATTTGTATTAAGATTTTCGTCTCAAAATTATCTCAAGAATACTTAAAAGAATTTTTAAAAGCAAATGCGGTTATGGAACATTCTGTATATAAAAAGAAAAGAAATGTGCGCAATTTTTTCTGTAATTCTAAATTGCCGTACATGTATAAAATAATCTCATTCTAGAAATAAAATTTGCAAATACTATTCAAAAGAAATTACCTTCTTAACTTCTGAGAAAAGAAAGAGAGAAAGAGCACGAAGAGACAATTCTCAGAATGCGGTTGCTTATCTCAGCCTTATTCTCCCAGGACGTCTAATACTAAACCCCACATTGTTTCGGCGGTATAAAAAACAGCTTTTCTCCTTGGGGAACTTTGCATGGTAAGACATATAAAGTCGGGCGCGCCATTAGCAAGAAGTTTTACTGCCACTAAACGCGTTTATTAACCGAGCTTTAGATCTCGTGCATTTTAAATTTTGGCGTATACGTGCCGCTCGCGTTAATGTTCTTCATAATGAAGCGGCCATACGCCGTCGCGTAGACACGATTAATAGTCGAAGCCGGGAAAGTGAGCTCCATAAGAATGCATTGGGGATTAGGTGCGCTCGCTTGGGAAACACTCGCGAAATTTACGACGACGGTCGAAACCGAACGCGCGTTTGTTTGATGCGTATATTTTCTGCCAAACAGAGTATTCTCTGGATAGAAAATAGATGCTCTCTTTTATTTACAAATTGACGTTAAAGCTTGATTTTTATTTTTAACTTTGCTTTTTTTAAATTAAAATAATTTATGACTTTTTTTACATGGCTATATGTTTTTTGTAACAAATTTAAAATTAAAAAGATTTTGATGTGCGGTATCGTATTTTTCGAATTTAATCTTTTTTGCTAAATTATATGCGAAAAATCCGTAAAATAATAAGATTTCTACAGCATTGCAGAAATAATTTCTGTAAAATTTCTATTTAAATTAAGAATTTTTTTTTTCATTAATCTTCTTAGACGAATGTTATTTAAATAAATAAATTATATATATCCATGAATAGATACTTATCGATTATGCTTACATTATTTAGTTTGGTAATATAATGCACATTAAATTCAATATCAATTTAAAAAAAAATGATCTGTTTTTTATATCATTATATGTATATATATAAAAGGAACAGAATTTCTTGGCTGCATTAAAACTTGATTTCCGTGGTCGTTTTCTCCATTATAATTAAATCGACTCCATTGGGTTAATATAAGACGACCGGATAATTTTTATCAAAATCACTCTCGAAGATACCATCTCGATAAAAGTGCATCTTCTAGATAAGCTTCTAAAGCCACCGTGACACTCCGTTCGGAATATTCAACGAAGCCATTTCAGGTCTTACAATAACCATCTTCTCAATCCTACCTAACTGACGTTTCCGCCGGAAGCTGCGTTAATAACGTTTCTAACTAACAAATGTGAGTTATTTGTTTTTATTTTCAGTTGAATAAATTTTAAATGAATTGAATTACTATTAAATTATTTCATGCATGAGTATGTTACATTGTAATCAGTTCAAATAAAATGTTAGCGGAAAAACATTTTTTGAAAAGTATATGAAATTTCTTTTGAATTTTTATAAACCTATCGAGTTGATAGACAAAAAAGACAAACAAATAATATTATTATGAAAAGCAAAAAACGTAATTGAAATTTTGGATGCCGTCGAAAAAAGTTTTTTTTGCAAAAATGGATAATTAATATTGATGTGACAAATATAGCGGATGATATAGCGGACATAGATATTGATCGAGCAACTAGCAAATTCCCATGCTCTTAGCATGCTTTAACATTTGGCAATAAAGTTATCGTCTTGCCGACAGGCGACGAAATAAATTCGAATAATTCACGCTCGCTTACTTCCGTTGAAACGCACTCGCTCGACGCGATCGAACTTGCACATTAGTGAAAGAAATGAGAAATGAAAAAAAAAAGAAAAAAGTGCAAGAGTTCGACCGTTAGGAGAAAGTGAGATGTAATCAGCTATGAAAACGCAATCAGATATCTATTTTTATGCAAACGAAAAAAAGAATAACTATGTCCGACAGCAAAAAAAGCTAGATTATCTCCAATACAAATCCAGCTGTCTGTGAGTTCATCTTACGTTTATGTATGTTTAATAGAAAATCGGATATTTTACTTTTGTATCTCGATGTCCAAGTATACTGAATTTTTTTGTGATGGTTCACAGCTCAAAATTCACTACAATCGCGAGTAAAAGGCCGCAAGGCGCACGACGCAGGTTATCGATCTTTCCGCGAGCTGGTGCGAGGGAGGAAATTTCGTCGCAAAGATGCAGTGAGAGACGAAAAGCCGACAGGCCGGCAAAACTTGGCACGACGACAGCCTCCTCGAGACTTCTACAACGATCTTAAAATTTCCCCCCCCCCTCCTCCCCGTCTATCCTATCACCCTTCTTCCATCCTCAACGAGTGTCTTGCTCGCGCTGGCACGCGGAACATCCTGAGTCTCTTTCACTTTTTCCGTCTTTTTTTGGTGTAGGTGCCCATGGCGGCTTCGACGATGCCTAGTTACGGCTTAAGACTTACGGTGCCATAATATTTATCGCGTTTCGACGGCTTTATGTACATTTAAACTTTAACGTCCACGCTTCACGCCACTCGGAATTTTGTGCTCTTCGTGGAAACGTGGGCGAAAACGCACGTCCGTTGACTTCCTTTTTCTCTTTCTCAAGTCGACCGAATGACGCGACACGATGAGAAATAACGGCGTGGTCTTTTTCTTTCGGAATTCTGCAAGTTTGTACGTTTCACATCTCAGTGATGTCGGAAAGCGCGTGATACTGACTCCGTGCGATTAATTTTCTCGCATTAGCGACCCTTATAGAAATAATTAATACTGGTTAATATAATATTAAAAATTTATTATTTTGGAATGAATTATTTTGGAATTTTATTTTTTCTTTGGAATGAAATCTCATTCTACTAAAGAAAATTCTGCTAGTCTTGAAAAGCGAGACAGAATTTTTAGTCTTTAAGAGTGAGATTTTATTCTTTAGAGTGAGATTCCAGATGTCTAAAGAATTTAAAAAGCTTAATATTTTTGATAGTCAAAATAAGTAATTAATTTTACATTTCTATATTAAATTTCTCTAAGAAAAACTAATCATCATTTATTTGATGCTTTGAAGAAACACTCTGCTTCTCAAAAGTTTGAAGTGCCCTTTAATTTTTAAGTTGTTTATTAGCAATAATATTAAACTGACAGTCAATTTAATTTATGAATTATTTCAGATTCAGATTTAAGATTGCGTTTCAATTCCGACAAATTGAATCAGCGCGCAGTTAGAATTAAAAAATAAATTTGAAAAATTTATACATATTATTAATCACCAAGATCGACTCTGATCATATGTAAGATTGTTTTTCTTATTTGTGTTAAAGTTTCACTATTAGTAAATAAAAGATGATAAACTTTCTTTTCGAAATATATAAGTTATATTCTACACATTTGATAATACATCTCGTAATTAAATGTATGATGAATATGTATATTTCTATGTATAATGCGATTGCATGAGAAAATTTTTGAGAGCGCAAAGTAAAACTGTTATTTATATCACATAAAAAGTAATTATTTTTTCAATCAAAATTGTTTTCATGACTCGTAGGCTCTTATTGCATGCTTTATATTTTTCGGTACTGACAAAACAAAATATAAAATTATTAAATTCTATTAATTACATTTCAGCCAGTGAATTACACGTCCGTTTTTAAATGTATCTCCTTTATTGAATTGTTAACGACATACGCGAAATTATTTTTGTTACGTGCAACGTAACTTCCGCGCGAGCGGATAGCCGTTTGAAGAATTAACTGAAGAATAAATGCGCTTAATGTACATATTGTTGTTTACATTTCTCGTCGGTATTTTCTTTCTGCAATAATTCTAAAATCCGTTCACCGCAGCCCACATGAATTTGCCGTTCACGAATTATATTCATTTACGAAAGGTAGGCAGTGTATTGTGGCGAAATAATTATAAGACGATTACGTCTACCAATAGCGGGGCGAGTCCCTCGTAATCGTGTCTACCACCTTCTCTTCTCTTGTTCGTACCGCCCACGCTGAGATGAGTTAATATCCAACTCGGAGCCACTATGTACCATGTATCGCCCACTTTGACCGTATGATAATCCTATTGCAACGGATACCGTATCTAACGTGTGCTTGAGATAATTAGATACGCTTCCTTTGATCCTCGTAAGAACAGCATACGCAGCCTACGCACACGACCGTACGTATTGGTATATCCACCATGGATTGATCAATCAGTATCCGAAATGTCACGTGGGAGTCACGTGTTGCGATCACATTCGAAAGTGCAATCTTGAAAAAAAGAAATTAGCGTAATATGCCAGACTCGCGCGTCCGGTGCCGCGTTTACTATTTCATACTTTTGCTTTGTCACGGGATAAATCTGTCATATTTGCAGTATTACACATATCAATGCTGTATTTCGCCGCTGTATCATATAGCTGGTAAAAGCGCTTGCATTCAGAAATCGCAGAATACACCGAGATCAAATAACAAATGAATAACAGACAAGCAAAAAAAGAGGGCAGATGACGTTTTCAGTGCAGATTATTGATGAATTTGTAACTCCGCACGGACGCGTATGTACGTGCGTTCGATGGCGCAATCAAATAAAGAGCTGAACGATTAATCAATCAAACTGTTATTCGTTTACCCGCTTGAACTGGTCAGTGGAGCAAACGATTATCTGTTTGTCCATCTAATCAATGAAGCGATTATATGGCTGTTTTTTTATCCGTTACAAGGTAACGGGAAATCTGAAAAAACGCCAATATAACGTTCAAATTAAAGGACAGGTATAATTATATGACATGTACAATTTTATAATTTGATATTCTTCGCTATCATTTCATTCATTAAAATGATAATTTTTTAAATAACTTCAATAATAACATTGCATATTTTTATAATAAATGCGGAATTTGCATTTCTAGAAATGGATATAAAATTTACATTGCATGGCAATTTGAAAAAATATAACTATTTTCCATTATAATTTATATTTAAAAAATTTCTTATCCTAAATATTAATTCGAATTAAAATATTTTAAATTACAATATTCAATCTTTTTCAATTGTTTTTAATTACATTCTCGATTATCTCTCGATTACTTTCAATTCATATTTTTCTCTGTCAAAGTTATCGATCGTCTTTTATATTATATTTACCATTCGTTTAATTTCATTAGTGTGCAACTATTTCAATAAGGCGAACTTGACATTCAGTAATTACCACATTCTCCGACTGCTAGATTGTCTTGCGAATAATACTGAATCTCAATAACACTTGCAAACTTACACGGCTCTGTAATCTGATATCGCCAGCACTTTGGTGGTGAGTTGCTGTTAATTTCGCGAACTAATCGGTCCATCGTAGCCGGATGAACGTGTAAACGTGATAGCGAATTCACAGTTAGAATGGCGGGCTCATTCCACCGTCAAGGATGATGGAACGTCACAAAAGATAGCTGCAAGTATCGACTCCTAGTTTCCTTCATCAGGAGACACGGTTTTCTCTTTCTCTCTTGCTTTCATATATTATTGCTGAACTCGACCACGTCGTAGTCTTTAGTCGAGTTACCAAAGGATAGACGACGACGCGGTCGCGTTCAAAAGCATTATTAATTAAACGCGACACCGGCCCACTCACCTATGACCTCCATTCTCGCCTCGGCACTGACTGTATTAAAGCTCGGCCCCTCCCCGTTAACTTCGCACTTGTACATGCCGGTGGCATGAAGATTTGCGTCCTGCAGCATCACTATCTGATCATTCGAGCGAGATTTCTGAAACAGAAAGTGCGATCTCGTTTTATGACGAATCGAGGAAGGAATAATGCGTTGAAGAATTATTAAGAATGGATCTTACTTAAATGAAAATTACATCAATCTATTTAAACATCCCATTTGATCTAGATAACAAACGTTATTTATCACTTTGATATCCAAATGTATAGATGTCAATATGACGACAATTAACGTCATTTTCTCTAAGGAATAATATTTATCAACTAATTTTAATATGACTTGATGTGTCATATTAAAAATCTTTTCCTTTCTCACTTGTCATATTTGATTGCGCAGAGCTATTTCTATAAGCGTGCTGAAGTTTTAATTGTAAACTGTATGTTATGAAAAGTCGGAAATATCAATTTAAAAATAATTCAAATGAAGATAAATTATATATTAAATGTCTTCTCGGCATAACTGGTTTTCTTTTTCCATAATTTTCCAATACTTCTTCCATTGCTTATAATTTCTTTGTTACTAAAAATACGTACACGTATTTGCTTGATATAATTATATTCTTTAATATCTGGTATTTCAATTAAAAACATTTTTTTACAATATGTTCACTTTTATGAAAGTTATAAGCAATTAAATTGAGTTGGAATGTCATTCTGTAGTGTTCTTCCAGTAATGTGATTTAAAGATTAAAAATAAATTAAGTAAAAGAGATGTGTGTTATATGAATTACACTTAAGCGATGAGAAATATTTATTACATTTGTATAATTTATGCAACAATTTGTTTAGAAATTAAATTTTTTGTTATCAATTATTATTATAAAGAGAAATATTAAAAATTTCAAAATTTAATAAATAAAGATAGACTGCATTAAAAATGGAAATTAAAAATGGAATTTAATAAATATAGACTGCATTAAAAATGAAACGAAAGGAAGAAACATCTCAAATATGTCAAATATATCGGAAAAAATGGTGAAAGATGCATATTGCATCTGATTTGCACGGTGCATGCAATTTATTTTTAAAGGCGACTATTGCGGACTATTATTGAAATTATAAAAGTTTGAAAATATTGCAAATAAAGATAAATTATACGAAAAGAAAAGAAGATATTTTAAGATATCTCTATTAAAAGTGAAGTGGCGAAAGATGGACCTAACGGACTTCGCAATTCTTCCAAGCTATTTGACAGCGTTTAGTCAAGGTATAATAATTTGTGTCATTACTGTAAGACGGAGCGGCAGGACATCGACTTTACGAGTCATTTCGTTTTTAGAGCAGTGAATCGTGCCGGAGTAGTTACGTTGTTACAAATGGCGGTCGCAGATCGTGCATGATTACAAAGTTGTTTTCTTTTTGCAGATTTGCGATCTGTGATTTTAAAAAACTCCAACGCTCGTTTGCTTTTTATTATATTAAAATGCTCGTCTATTATATTCTGTTCAAACTTATGCGCAAGATTTATTTGTTATTAATTATGTGCAGAAAAAATTAAATGATAAATTCACGAATTCGAGACTTTTTATGAGTTATATGTCTAATTGTAAGAAATACAATTCTCTCTAGGAATAATTTTTTAATTCAAAGCATTAACAAAATTGACATTGATATTTGGAACAAAATTCTTTATATGACGTAACTGACAAGATGCAATTATATCAATTGTCGAAAAATCTCTATTATGTCAAACTCTTACGTAAGTAAAAATGACGAAGTGCAAATGGAATTATTCTTTTTTCAAATGTAAAAATCTTCAAATAAAAAAAAGTAAGATAAAAAGAGTAAAAATGAAGCTTGCAGCGAATAAAGTAAAGCTAGTGAATTCGATATTGGAACAATATCGATGTGTAAATATGAAGAAAAATCTGCTTTTTATTTTTAAATGAATTGCAAATATTCTTTTTCTCTTAGTTTTAGATGGATACAATCAATCTATTACGTAATTATAGTACAATAATTTAATTCAATTACAGCTCAAGAAAGTGAGCTGTTCTAAATTAAAAAATACAATTTTGTCCATCTATCTAAAAGGCAAATATGGAAATTCAATTTTATATGGAACGATCCGGCTGGCACTTGGATCGTATATAAAGAAATATATATGCGCACTTAAACGAGCGAGCAAATATACGTGCTTATTCCATTTATAACGGCTTGTATATATATATATATATATATATGTGTGTGTGTGTGTGTGTGTGTGTGTGTGTGTGTGTGTGTGTGTGTGTGTATCGCGTATCTCATCGTAACTGGTCCATAGTAGGTTGGTGCAACGAGTTTAAGAATTATGCGGCGGAGAAGCGAGTCTTTGGATGTTCACGAAGCGGAAAATTGGAACACTTCTTTGCTATTCGAGTTTATGGAAAATACACTGCAGATATGTTCACTATGACAACTTTCCAGTTTCGTAACAGGACTAAAAGCTTTCAAACTGATGTTCAAAATAACGAATCAGATTTTCCTGAGACAGATTTACTTACTCAATAATTGCATAGATTGTAACAGTTTTCATATTATATTTTTAATACATGATTCAATAAAATTAATAAAATAGTCCAAAAATGCATCGAATCTAAAACTCGACTAGAATAGTCTTGTTTACGGACTAAATAGAAAAATAAAATTTTCCTATTAAGAAGTTTAATAGAATTTATTTG